TTTTTGCTGTACAACAATTATTATAGTAAAGCCTGGGAAAAGCAACTACAAAGTAGGCAGCTGAATTGTGAAATCCATGTTTTCCCACTGTTGTTAGTTCACTTAGATTCTTATCATGAGATCTACCCTACTCAACTACCCTGTGGGTCCCTGGATTCTACAGAACCAGATCGGAAAGCCCAGCTCTTTACCAAGGTTCCAAGTATTAATAATATAAACAAATATAACAATACAAAGTCTGTAACATAGAAACACACTATGGGCATAAAACCCAACCAAACCGACGGCCATCGGGTGGATTCCAACCCAGCGCAACAGTAGGCCCGGCTGGGACGGCCCCTGTGGGTTTCCGAGACCCGTGGCTTTATGGGAGTAGAAAGCCTCATCCTTCTTCCCGTGGGAAAGGTCGAAATACATCAGAAATAGATGGAGGTAAATATCATCTCATAGATCATCTAACACTTTGGTGGATAATATTTAGGGTTTGGATATAACAGTGGAATGGTACATTTTGGATAACAAACAAATTTCATACAAGGAAATTCACAAAATGTGGGAATGACATTATGGTAGAGACCATCTGGGTGGAGATGAAAGGGGAGCAAAACAGAGATGGTATGATGGTGGGAAGACGCAATGGCACAGCAAATAGCACGAGGTGACAGGAATTAGCTATTTGATTTCCTGGGAAAGTCTTTTGATAAAATCGGAGGATATTGAAAAAGGTTTGCCTTGCTCTGCAGATAATTTTAATCTCTCAGTAAATTGAAGCCACAGTGTGCAATGGGATTTAGTGTCAGTTTAATTTGAACAAATATGGGAAGATTGGTTGGTCATTCAGTAATATCAGAAACTTTGGGAGACAGCCAAGTGCTCATAAATCCAGCTTCTCCATAATTATGTCAGAGGTGTTACAGAGAGGATTTCCTGGACGGAAGGTTGCACTAAATAATCTTCAAGTCCCTCTGGAACATTACAGCACTCGTCTAGCAGAGCCGCCATAAAGAACGAGAGAGGGGGGTGCCTGGGCGAGAAGCAGGCTACAGGGCGCGTAAATCTACTATAAAGCTATGAGAATGGAAACAATGTGGCAATAGAATAAAAATAAATAGATGAGTAGTACAGACTAGATAATCCAAAAGTTAATTTTAATTTCTGATAAAAGAAGGAAGTGAACACAAAAGGACATGGGAAATTAGGAATAGGCATATAACTTGAGTAGAAATCTTTTCAGTATTTAGATGAGAGAGAACTCATAAAGAAAAAAATTAAATATAAATTCTAAAATTTTAAAATAAATGAACAACATTCAAACGAAAAATAAACAAGCAAACAAAAAACCAGACTAGGTAACTATTTGGGGGACCTATGAAATCCAAACACTGATATTCTTAATAAATGATTAATCGATACAATCACCAAGAGCTCTGCCGGATAAGTGGGCTCAGAATGAGGATAATCTACTTACAAAAGAGGAAAGATGAGTACAGAATGATGGTGAAGGAAAAATACATCAAGGCTAATTATCAAAGGATTTTTAGGTTAAGTAAGAAGGCAGCTTTGCTTCTCAAATTAGAATTCAAACACATTTGTATTGGCTTGAAAATTGTTCAATATTTAACAAGAATCTTTCAAATATTCATTCCTTTTGACCTACGAGTTCTACAACCAGGATTCCATTCCAGGGAAATAGTTTTAAGTGTTGAAAAGCTCTGGGCATAGAAATGCTCATTATAATATTATTTAGGGGTAAAACAAAAGAAAGGAGAGCCAGTCTTTAATGCATATGTACAATGAGCAGTCATTCTGCAAACGAGGTTAACATAAGTGATAGTTTGGTTCCACCGCAGACCCATGGAATAGCTACTAGCCTCATTTTACAGCAAACAGAACATGCTCAGGGAGAATACGTTCTCCATGGAAACTTGGCAAGCAAGAGATAAAAAAAAAAAGGCAAAGAGATCTAAATGTAAAGAGGAGACTATTTAAGTAAACCCAGACAGATTTATTTCACTGCCCTCCCTCCCTGTCAGAGTCGGTTCTGACTCATAGGGACCCTGTAGGACAGAGTAGAGCTGCCCTGTGGGTTCCCCAGACTGTAACCCTTACAGGAGCAATCCAGAGAGGACATTTCTGTTTGGTGTTATTACAGAAGTAGAAAGTGTCATCTTTCTCCTATGGACTGGTTGGTGGTTGCAAACCACTGACCCTGAGATTAGCAGCCTGAATCATAACTTCTCCATCAGCAGGGCAGTTTGACAGATTATTGAACTTTTTTTTTTACTAAAATGGGAAAAAAATAAGTTAAGATATTGACACACGTGCATACACTAACTTTCATATTTAATACAGTTGGAAATCTCTTAATAGAAAATAGACTAGAAGAAAACACAAAACAAAACAGAATCTGCTCTGAAGTAACAGTGACGCCGCAGACCAAGCAAGTACTTCACAAGCTGCTGTCGAGCGGGCTCCAGTGGCCAGTGACCCCTCTCTTGTGTTTCAGCGTTGACCTGCGCTCCAGGGGGCCTTCAATGGCTGGGTTGCACCCTTCCCCCCCCCCCCCAGAAGTAGATTGCCAGGCCATGCTTCTGAGGCGCCACTGTGTAGACGCCAGTTGTAACCTCTGGTTAATAGCCAAGTGTGTTAACAGTTCCACCCAGGACTCAGAGAGCAAAGCAAGGGACAGCCGAATGGGCAGGCTGGGCACGATGGAGGGCAGGCTAGCAAGGGCCTGAAAGGCACAAACCCTTTTTTAAGCGGTTTGGCTAATACAGGAGATAGAGCAGGTAATTCAGGGCAGAAACAGTATATCTTCTATAACGAGTAGGGCTGTAACTCTCTCCTTGGTAAGTCGCAGGCAAAATCATCAATTGGTCACGGTTAAAATGTCAGAAGACTCAAAATCACAGGACAAAAAGAATGAATTGTTGAGGCTGTGGCCAACTCTGAGCGTGCTGTGTCTGCTGAGAGAGACGGAGGTGCACACAAGGCGTGAAGTCATTTTGGCTCCGTGAATATTTCAATTAGGCAGCTAGGGAGGTTTGGGTGGTGAAAGACAAATCTATGCTCTGGAGTTATTAAAAGGACGTGTCTCTCTAGATTAGCTTTAGGGATATGGGTCTGGATAGCTACATGTTCCAGTCACCAAAAATGTCATTCGTGTACAAATACATACACACACATGCATGGACTAATCTCCAACTATATACACATTCCAGCATTTTGGAAAACTCGATCAGTGTTCTGAGTATGCTGTTTCATAACTTCATCTTTCAACCTCTCCTGTCACCCACTCTCCTCTTTTCCTCATATTGTTTTTCATGCTGTATGACATATGTGCATATTCGTACACCACACACCTGTGTACATACACAGAGCTACATCGCCACACGCGTACACACGACTACATTCAGGTTCTAATTGTCCATCTCTGGCTATGACTGACGAATGCTCGGTTAACTCGCACGGAGCACACAGGTCTGCAGGAGTGGACCACAGCGGCTGCACACCATCAACTCTCCGTTGCTCCGTGGTGCCCGCCATCAACACTCAGCTCACCTGGTGCTCAGCAGGGAATCGCTCTTCTTTCAGAATAACCATAACACCCGCATACTGCTCCAAAGACATGGCCAATTCTGAGGCCTCATGGACCATGCCAAATGGGTTTCTCACCGGGACCCCGACAGCAAGCGAAGCCCTCAGTGACTATTTGCTGCTGAGTGAGTAGACTAATGAGTGAGCGACTGGGTGAATATGCAAATGCTACTTAGACACAGTTCAATTCCTGCCTTTCTGATAACATCATCCCTCAGAGCCCCATTGATTGATCCTTTTGGAAATGCCTCCACTACTAGCCTGCATGGTTACTTAGCACCTGACTCTATGTGTTGGTTTTATACCAACTGTTTTCAGTGGGCTGCAAACCACAAGGTTGGCTGTTCAAACCCTCCAGCCACTCTTCAGGACAGAGATGAGAATGCTTGCTCCCCTAAAGGTTTACAGTCTCAGACACCATATAGAGCAGTGGTTTCTCAACACTCCTAATGCCACGATCCTTTCATAGATACTCATGTTATGGTGACCCTCCAACCATAAAATTAAATTTGTTGCTACTTCATAACTGTTATTTTGCTACTGTTATGAATTGGGTGACTCCTGTGAAAGGGTCGTTTGACCCCCAAAAGGGAGTTGAGAACCGCTGTGTTGCTTTTAGCTAGAATCAACCGGAGGGCAGTGGGCTTCTGGTGAATTGCTTCCTACTGCTGGGCCGTGTTTATGTTTTCATTTTGGTTAGCGATGCTCCCCTCCAGAGAAACCACTTACACGTGAGCATCTTCATTCCGCTTCCGGAAGCAGGAGCCACAGGGCACGGGGGAAGTCCCAATATGCTTGTGCTCCCATGTTTATGAACCAGTTAAACTGCACTTTGTGCTACTTCTACCCGCTCCCCTCCCCAGTACACTGGAGTATGAGTCCCCAGTGCGGTGTCATTTTGTGGTCCAGGAGGTGGCTTCTCACTCTGCTGATTTGAGGCTGGACAAGCCACGTGGCCTGTGGTCCTCTGCCTCCCCACCGGTAAAATGGGAACGGTGACAAGAGAAACAACAATAAGTTGTTTTCTTGTCTCCAAGGATGACTGTGGGATCCAAAGGCACCAGGCATGTGGCAGAGTTTTCCAAACCAGAAAGCAAATACTAGCCGTTTACCTCATCAGTGAAGCAACAACTGCAACCAAGTGACGTTGCAAAGCGACAGCGCACAGGGAGAGAGACGGTATATAGCACTAACAGTACGGGTGGACCGTGCCGGGAACAGCTACGAAGAAGGCCAAGGTGAGCTGGTAAAGACTCCCAAGGGTAACCTACTAAGCATGCCTCAGTCATGAATCAAAGACCATGCTCCACACCTGCTGGGAGGAGAGATTACTGGGCACCGATCAGTCACCCGCGGCCCACTGGCCTAGCGGCATGCATCTTCCAGCCCTGGAGACGGCTTACCAGACACAAGCTGCTGTCCAGGCAGCCCCACAGGAACCATGCCCAGGTTATTCATCGCAGTGGCCCAGGCGGTGGGGTCTGTCACAGACATGTTGAGCTGGGTCGTGTCTATCGCTATACTCCCCAAACCATCGGCTGCTGTGGGAGAAGCAAAGAGTGACATAGAGTCAATAGGCCAGGATGTTTGTTTTAGAGGACATTTCGTTTCTCAGATATGTGATGCTTCGGCTAGCAGTCTCAACACACACACACACACACACACACACACACACAGCCGGGGATCTATAATGATGTTTCTCCAAATATAAGTATAAAGGTTCTCTGAATGAAACTTAATGATATGTGTTTGCATTATAAAGGAGGCACCACTGGAAAAAACAGAGAATCCTTTCTTTGCACCATGAGCAGCCTTAGGTAAATGACAAGGTTGAGACTCAAAGCAGGAGTTCTCTCTTGACACAACCAGTCAGGTGGCTGAGCAGACCCAGCTAACCAATTTCTCCTCCACCAAGCAGATTTCTGGAGCAGGCCTGTCTTCCAAGTATCTAATAGACTCCCAAGAAAAACAGTGTTGTCCAGTTGTGGAACTGGCCCTGAATGAACTAATGAAATATCACTGCATGGCATAGCCCCTCCTTTACAACCCTTTTAACATCATTGCATTAAGACACCACTCCTAGAGGGAGTTTTCCCAAACACTTCTCATGAAGCAAAATCTCCCATCCAAAAAAACCCAAAAAACCATAAACAAGCAAACAATTAAAACAGCAAACAGTACAAGGCTGAAGACAGCCAAAGGTGTCAAACTTGACTTCAGGGGCTCTGACTCTCATCAGCTGCACTTTCGCTGGCTCCATGTTCATTAAAGGTGACAGGTGCTGGGCCAGCTAGTCCAGGGAAGACACGGAATGCTTTGGTGTGTCCTGTGAGAGCCATCAGTATTTACCTGCAGCCATCATCTGAGAAAGCTCCTGGGGACACTGGGTGATGCTCTCGAGTCCACCTGCATCGACTATTGGGTCACGAGCATCCTGCGTGGCAGGGGCACTGGGCTGGCTGAGGGTGGGGTCCCCGCAGAGATCATCCGATTCTGAAAAAGGGGGAAAACCATGTGATGAGAAAACATGAGAGTGAGCTAAGGATGTGTGCGGAGGAGACACTATGCACTGTTACACACTCGCACATGCACACCTACACAAAAATAACAAATCACAACTTCCCACGGATGAGCTGAAAAGGGACGCTGCTTCCCAACTCAGCCCTGTCCTGAAGCTCAGGTTTGGGGAACCTGTGAGGTGTGTTGGTCAGCCTGCCTGGAGTCAGGGCTGGCTGAATAGGCAGCGCGGTGAGGCACATGTCAAATGCCTCACCTCTGACTGAAGAGGATTCACAGATGGGGTCTTATCAGCCCCGGCACAGCCTCCTCCACTCACTGCACATCAATGGAGAGGGCCGCCTCAGAACTAAATATGATTTTTTTAAAGTTAAAAATTAATTGATGTTGTTATTTCGGAAGACGGTCATCTGTGAAATGCATTCAGAGAAGAAGGGGAAAAAATAAATAGAGGGGGGAAAAAAGGCAAGAATCCATTCACCGCAAGGCTGGTCAAGGAGTGTATCCAAATTATAATCATCGGGAAAGGCCAAAAGAAAGCAAAACCGGCATACTCTACACAAAAGATCGAGAGGGTATTGCAGCAGCCACGGGAAGCACTTGTTCTCGGGCGCTGGGGGAAGATAAAGGTGAATTGTTCACAATGAGGCTTAGTCTGAAGGTCCCCTAGAATTGTGCAGTTTAGACACACACACACACACACACACACACACCAGGGTAAGTAAAACATTGCTATTAGGTTTCGAGTTCATACATGCTTGGTTTTATTCCAAACAAAAGGATTTTAAACAGTCTGTATGACCAGTGGATGGCTGCAGACAAGTTTTCTCACTTGTAAGTCTCAGGAGGGTGTCTTGGGTGGGAGTGGGGCATGGGGAAAATGACCTTATGGTCAGAGTCAAGGAAAATTTGAACAAAGCTCAACTGGATATTTTCCCAAATTATCAAAGCTTTGCAGCAAGTTTATCGGAATGCTGTCCCACAGACAAAATCAACAAAACAGGCTTTTGATGGGTGAAGTGTCTTAAGGAAAACCTCAGAAGTAAACTGCTATCTTTGATAGAAGACCATCAGCCTTTCTGAATGAGGAAACTGTTACTGAAATCCAGAAACTGAAGACCATCAGCCTTTCTGAATGAGGAAACTGTTACTGAAGTCCAGAAACTGCTGGGGCAAGATCATAGAATCGAGGCGATACTTATTGAAATGACAACCTGGCATGGTTCAACATTTTTCAGGTTTAAGCAAGCTGCTCGGCCTCAGGAGGCTTTTAGCTGGATAGGTGCCAAATGCGTTGCCTAAAGATCAGTTAGCTGATCTCAGAGAGTGATCTTCCCATCAGTATTTTAAGCAAGAGCTAAGCAAATGATGGTGATGGTAATGAATGACTGACACCAGGGGACACGTCCTAGATCTACCAGTGTGATCCAGAGGGCAAGTCCCATGAAGCAGTGCCTCTTCCCAGGGCATCTTCCGGGTCAGTAGGATTCAAGGCACAGAGATCACCTCTGAAAATTATAGTGACTCACTTGTGGAGAGTCCCAAGGGTTAATATTGATTCCTTTTCTCAAAGGACACAGGATGACCAGGCGTTTACGGAGAGGTTTTAAGCAAACAGACAGCAGTACTGGTGAGTCTGTTGCCATCATGGCGATGCACCTGCTCATTCTTCAAGGGCTGCAAGGCCTGTTCTCAGAGCCTGTCCTCGGGCAACCTGACCTCATCCATCCTACAGCCCTGACCTTGCCTTTCAGATGTTTTGGTTTCTGAAACTCAAACAAGAGTTTCAGTGAAGAGCACAGGATACGTTAGCGAAAGGGTAGAGATATGGAATCATTGCTATCAGAAGTATGTAGACCTAAATGGAGGATATGTTGAGAAACATTGATATTTCTGTTTAACAAATTTTCTATGATTGTGTAGCAATGCTTTTGGACTAACCTCCCTGTGTACGTATAGGAAGAAGGTACACACACATGGCACCTTCAAAACAGTGCATGGAAAAATTCCATTTATCTTTTCATTCCATTTTCCACACACTCGTTGAAGCACTCTCGTGTACACCTGCATACACACAAAGCTGCTGCAAACACACTAGAAATGCTTTCCCCCCATTTCCTTCCTTTCTCCTTCCCTCCCTTCCTCTCTTTCTTTAATCATTTTATTAGGGGCTCATACAACTCTTATCACAATCCATACACACATCAGTTGTGTAAAGCACATTCGTACATTCATTGCCCTCATCGTTCTCAAAACATTTGCTCTCCACTTAAGCCCCCGGCATCAGGTCCTCATTT